ATGGAATAAAAACATCTCTTCTTTTAGGCCCAACGGCCATTAAAAAATAATTATTAACGAAGATATAATTAACACTAATTGGTGTACACTGTAAGCTAATGATGGCTACAAAAATGTTTTGGTATTTTATATAATTTACGCCAAACACAGAATTTACAGGAGGTCATTTGTCGAAGAAGGCCTTAAGCTTACAGAAAGCTATCTTTGGCAATAAAGCTATAGCTAAAGAATTAAGCTAAAGCTAAAGCATAAAGCTAAGCTAACTGGTGGCTCATGTTAGCTAACACACTCTTTCACACACAGTGACGTCACGAGCTACCCACAATGCAACGCGCGCCATATATATATATATAAATACGCCATTTTCCTGGAGGTGCAAATATCCTGGAGGTGCAAATATAAACGGCTAGCTAACGTAGCCAGGCAGAGCGCACTAGGTTTTTTTTCTGAATTAACGACCGAAGAAATCGCTGCATGACTTCGGATTACATCTCTGGACTTGAGGGGTGTGCTCTAGGTCGTTACCAGCGTAAACTAGAGCTGTGTGGGTTGTCCGATTGCCCTTACAGACTGCCTGCAGATGTATGGAAAAACGACCCTCGATAGTGGCCTTCGTCGATTTTGGCTGCATCTACGTCTAATTTCTGAAAACACCAGGTTAATACCCCACTTGTCACAATAATATTATCATTCCAATGCATATATGTGGTATTTTAGAGTTGACTAGATATTGATTAAGGCAATAGACTATGATATTCTGCTTGCACCTCGTGTGAAATGGTGGATACCGGAAGTACGGTTTCGCCCTCGGCCCAATACAGTATGTGTGTGTGAAAGAATCTGTAGCCGATGTTGAGGCTTGAAGCTAACAACTATAGCAAAAGATTGAAAAGCTTATTGTGGGCTATTGTTAGATAAAGCTAGCTACCATCTTTTTTTTTAGGTTGTTTTATGTCTAACACCTAATGCCTAATGTATTTTCAGGATTGCATCTGTAATCATTTACGGCCCAGAGATAATCAAAATACCACTATCAGGGAAACAAAAACATGCTAAACTAGGCAAAGCTATATTAGCTTAAAAATGAAGCTAAAGCTAACTTTTGCCTCTTGTGAGCTACCTTTAGATATTGCTATCTACCTGAAGTTTCTCAACATATATAGAATCTATGGTCAAAATGTAAGAGTTAAAAGAAAAAGAAAAGAAAAATGTATTGTTGGAAATAACCAATTTTGCAGGCTAATTTTCGTCATATGTTTTTATTTCTGCAGTTTCTTGTGCATGATCTTGGGAACTACAATGAATAGCCTACAAACTACATTTCCCTTGTGTCACTGTGACAGAGCACAGGACAGGTATGTGATCGGGTCAGACATTTGTCCGGATGAGGATTTAGCATGGGATTTAGAGGCCGTTTCTCAATCTCGAGGATACTGGCTTCCAAGCCAATATTTCAAGGATACTACGTCATCGATTGCCGCAAGGACTGTTCCAATCTCCAGCATACTTGGGAGGCCGCGTCCTTGGTTGCAAATGAAGCCTCCAATAATGTTATTACTTTAAGATGTTTTAATTAATACTCACATTCTACAACAGTGTTTATAAAATGTACATTTACCAGTACAGTATCTTCGACATTCCCCCACTGTAGAGGTTTTAGTAATGCCCTTCCTGCTGCCTGTAGGTCATCACATCCTAAATGGTGTTGCCGGTGACGCAGAGAAATGTTCACAGCGTTGATCACTTCCATCATGTTACTGATTATATAACCACTCCAGCCTCACAGACACGCACGCCACTGTCTGCTGTCATCTCTCTCTCTCTCTCTCTCTCTCTCTCTCTCTCTCTCTCTCTCTCTCTCTCTCTCTCTCTCTCTCTCTCTCTCTCTCTCTCTCTCTCTCTCTCTCTCTCTCTCTCTCTCTCTCTCTCTCTCTCTCTCTCTCTCTCTCTCTCTGTGCGTGTGTGCGCGCGCGACTGGAGCCTCGCCATGGATGTAAAATAAGAACCTCGCCCATATCATCTCACTCCTCACTTACGCCCCCTGCTGTTGCCTGCAGATCTGAGCATGTGGCGCCCCCTGGTGGCTGCATGTGAAACAGAGATGTCCCATGTCATGCTGATCCAGAATAATGTCTACTGTAGGTTTTGCCTACATTTAGTTAATAGTGCTGTAGTGTATATAATACACCATGCCCAAGCAATAATCACACTCTGCTTTTAGAGTAAATACAATTAAATAATTACAATGCAATGCCTTTATTGTAATTGAATAGTCATGTTAGACCAAATATAATTGCAAAGTGATGAAAAAGTCATAAGCATATATCTTCAATAGAAAATTACAACGAATATATGAAAAATATGTAATAAAAAGAGTACATATGTAAGTTTCGTGCAGGTGGCAAACATATATAGATAGGACATTTGCAAACTTCACTGTAATGAAAGTATTTCTGATTATTTTTTCTTTCTGCAGCTATTTCAGAGGTCTCTTCAACAACACTCACAAGCTGGCAGAGATTCAGTAGGTGTGTCTTCTTTACTTTTTGTTATCAGTTTTTTGCGTCTTTGAAAAACACATCAGAATACTTTATTTATCCCGGGGGGAAATGGGTTTTGTGTGACAGTGGCTCATTTAATAATGAAACATAAATCAAACAAATATTTATATAAACATAAGAAATAAAAGCTTTTTATTTTATTATTTAAACATGTGCAGTTTAAAAAATAAAATAAAAATCTAGAAAAATCATTTTTCTGTAACAGTCATATCTGATAAGAAGCCAATGCTGTCCGGATTATACTTACTGTTTAGTAAAGGGTCTAAATCCCTCCTCCACCACCATGCACATGTACGTCAGAGAGATGGAGGACGTGAGCTGCAGCTGAGAGAGACTCCATGCTGGTGAAAGGTCGTCTAATCCCACACATGGAGAGCCTCTCTGTGGAGGCGGCCGGCGGTCAGAGACCTCGTCCCAGTGGTGTTTTTCTCCCTGGTGTTATCATCACTGGGAAAACCCCACAACCCACATGTGGTGGAGGAATATTTCACATCCTTTACTGAAGTATAAGTACTGTACATTTATATAATTTCAGTTTCATATTTAATATTCCATCTGTCACATACTTATATATAATACCTTGCTTTATTGTTCATTTGTACATTTCTACTTTCTTGTTTATTTCTTGACTTGTAATTTGTATTGTACAATGCCATGTCTTTTTATGCTGCTGCAACACAAAAAATGCCCAAACTGGGATCATTAAAGTACTATCTTATCTCTTATCTTAATACCACAGTAAAAGTCCTGCGGTCAAAACCTTACTTAAGAGTATGTATTTAGCTAAATTAAATAAATGTGTATAATGTGAAATGGTTTCCTATTACATATTTGATGTTTTTGATATATTATTGCTGCATTAATGTGTATGTCACATTTTACTGCTGTACATGTTTAAGGTTGTGCTGATTTGAAACCCTTCATATAGTTGCTGTTGTTTAATTAACAGCAATGCATCATGTTCTATAGGACCCTCAAATTATGTATGCCCTCTTTCAAGCAACCATATGCCATTGACTAAACAAGTAAATAGATAATATGTTGATTTTTGTATTGCTGCCTTGATCAGTTAAAGGTGGGGTAGGTCATTCACTTCAGAAACACTTTTTGCTATATTCCATGGAATGCTCTTAACATCCCGATAGCAATGAATACTTTAAATGCTTTGGCAATAAATACATTTAAAAAATGTCATCTGTGGAAGCCGTGGCGCTGTAAAAAGCACGACCAATCATTTGAGCCGGCTAAAGTAACTGGATGGCCTACCTGCCTGTCAGCCTTCCATCTGTGCACAAACTTATCTCGTGCCCTCATTGGTCATGTGCACGTTCGTGTGTGTTGGAGGAGGGGCTCTGTAAGGAAGTCTGAAGGAAGGGGCAGATTTTTTCCGGCTGCGTACTTTCACATTCTAGCGCACTCGAGCTGGTTTCTCCATTCTTACCTACCCTACCTTTAATTAATGTGTTTATGTTGTGCATCTAACCAAATCCTTTAGAACATGAAGTCCCCTATGATGAATTGGAAATGGGGGACCCTGATGTAAACAAGACGAAAGTCTTTCTCTGGTCTGCATCCCCTTAACAATTGTATGTTTTGAGCTGTACTGTACTGTACCCAATATACAAGCTGTTAATAAACTTTTCAATCAATCCATCAATCAATCCACAACAACTCAAACAAATGAACCAATCAAAGCAGCGATAGACCAACAAATCCTGTAGTGGATATAACAGCTTCAGATCTGTAAGTTAGGGGAAGTGGTGAACATTTTCTAAATATAGCATACTCTTAAACCAATATTGTTGTTTTTAAAATAATGTTGAAACTTCCACTGTCCACAGAAGTATCATCTTCACTTCTATCTTCTATCATCTGTCTCTTTTTTTTCTAAATTGGGAGTGCAGACCTCTACTAATACCCTGACCATGAATAAATACCTCATACAATTACATTTAAAAACGTCCAAAGTGTCCCTTTAACATTCTGCAATTTTCCTTTTACTGATTGTATTGATTAAAGCCTCTTAAATTAATCAAAGTAAAAAATGACTGGAAGCTTATTTTGCACTAATAAATGTTCATTTTCTCAATAGACTCTTACGAAACAAATGCTAATCTCTCTAAATCTTCATAAGCCCTTGCTTGAAGCGCATAACTAACATTCAGAGCACTTCGAGTAGATGCTTCATGGTTACACTGACTAAAATCACTGCGTCACAGATCAAATAAAGTGCCCTTTATCGAGAGACACTACCCCCCCCCCCCTTTTACTCTGAATGAGAGCATCAGCTAAAAGTTGAATGCCCAACCTCCAGCAGAGTGACTTTATGTTGCATGAAATGTCTTTTATCCTGCTGTATGCTTCCTTAAAATGACCATGAGTCTGCATTTTAATAAGTTTGTGATCTAAAGGAACGGCCAGGGAAAGAAACACATAATATAACACTGATCAAGACACGCCGTCTTTATTTTGCAGAGGGAATACAAATTCCAAACACAACCATCCAGGGAGCATTCACACAAAGTCTCAGTGTGCTTTTTGTACAAGCGCATATCTCGAAAGGGAGTAACAGCAAAAGCCTGTCACAATCAATGCAGTTAAAGGCGACTTAAGAGAACAGATTTTGGAAAAATAAATGAAATATAATACCCTTTTTTTCATCACAGAACACATTCCTGTCATTTTGCAGAAAGAAAGGCAGAGCAGTTATAACAGACAGTAACTAAGGAACATGAAAAATGTGCTTAAATAAAATAAATATTTTTTCTTAAGCTTAATAAGCAAGATGTTCTACCTCCTGGTGGATTTCTACCATCATACATCCTCATTTCCCCATCATATTGGTCACATATTTTCATATATTTCCATAACCAAGCAATTGACCTTTGACCTGTGTGGTACGATCGAGCGGGATGTTGCACCAGTAAGTGAAAAGTCTGATCTAAGAAGAATTATCGCTATAAATTGTTAGTAAAAACAGGTTTTCACAAATACGCTTAATATGAAATTATCATTACATGGGATGGATTAACATTTTTTTGGGGAACATTTTCTGTTTAATTTTCTTTGTTGAAAGTTACAAAGATATCACTTTCAAGTTAAATTAGCATCGAGCTAACTTAGCTTAGCACAAAGACTGGAAACGAGTGGAAACAGCTAGCCTATTTTGTCAATAACAAAAGGATGTGTGAGGAATCCTGACAAATATAAGAGAGGTTTTGAAAGAGAATACATACATGTTGCAGTAGTATTCATATTTGTTGCATAAGTATACAGCACTGGTGGAAGAAATATTCAAATCCTTTACTTGAGTAAAATATCACAGTGTAGAAATACTCTGTTACAGGTAAAGGTCTTGCATTCAGAATATCAATTAAAAGTACAGAAGTATTAGCAACTGCACTGCCAAGCTCCAGCACAATTAAAACCATGTAACATGTATACATTTGGTGCATAATTGGCTACTTTATATGCAAATGAGCCTCAGTGCTCCAATGAACAAACATCAGCTGATACAAATACAGTTACAGTGAAAGTATTAGTGTCATCAAAGAGCTGGCAGCACATTTAGAAATTGGTGTCTGCTCAAACTCAATTTGTCATGGGATGCAGTGACAGGATGAAATGACATTTGTGTTAAAAATAGGTTCTTTCTGGAAAAATACATGAAAAAAAAGGAATGAAAAAATAAAGTTATTATATGAAAGAATGAACAAATGATTACGTCGATCTCCTTTTGCAAAAAAAAGGGCTGATTGTACTCAGCTGCAAGACTTTATGGGTGTATTTGGGTTGTTAAATCTTTAGTGCATACATGTTTTATGAATCAGGGTCATATAGCAGCTGCAAATTCATGCGTGTCGACTAATATTATAATACTGGATCATTATTAACGCATTGATATGCAAACTGTACTTTAATGTTGCTGTTGGTGAAGGGGGAGTTCATTTGAACTATTTAGCATATGTTGGTCAGTTTAATCTGTTTGAATGGATCATATTTGACTTAGTTAGGTTAGCGCTCAAATACATTTAGTGGAGTACAAATCACAATATGCCTCTGTTATGTAGTGTAGTATATAGTAGCCTACCATAATATGGAATGGTTATGTTCAGTTACTTTCCTGCACTAAAGGACAGATTAAATTACTGCAAATGAACATTTTGTAGCATTTAGTGTTTACCTTAGACTCAAACTTACAATCAACTGGTGTAACTTGCTGCTGATCTTCAAAATGCAACTTAACAACAAGCTCAAAAGTGTTTTTTGCACTCAGCACTCACAGCACGCATCATTTTTGGGTGGTGTTAAGTTGCTCTTTAAACTCCAATTCTGTCAAAATGCTTTTCAGATACTACAACTCCCCAGCTTCTCCTTCATCACCATAATCCTCCATATTGTCCCGGGAACATTAAAAGGTTTCTGAAACAACTTTGGTACTTTGAAATCCAGAGAACAAAACATTCCTTAATGACTACATTCAATCCAGGATCAGGCAAATGAAATATTTAAATCTGTAAGTCACCCACTTTATTCTCTGTGCGTACATGCATCGTCCTGTAAAGGGATTGACGTCAGAAGCCACCTCGAAAAACCTCCAGGGATGAATCTCTGAAACTCTTTGACTAATGGACTCATGCCACCAAGTTTAGACAGTCTGCACGACCCCGAGCGGCTTTTAGTGGCCATCGTGTGTGTATGAGCATATACAAGATGTCTGGGTGGAGAAGGCTGTCAAGACCAAGTAACTTCTTTTGTGGGATATTTTTAAATGTAATAATAATCCCCAGTTTTATTGACCCTATTAATTGACATATTTTTTCCCTTTCCAAAAAATAAATAGGTAGTTAAACACTGTGTATTTTTTATATAAGCAGTTTTAGGACTATCTTTTTATAAGAGTTTTTATAAGGAGAAACCGGTAATATTTTACATTTTTCATCTTCAAACAAACGTCAAACAATCCCAAGAAAATCCCCAAACCGTCAATGGCTGTGTCTATTAATGATTTGTACAAAAGATGTTGCATTTTTGCGAATAAAACAGACCGTATTCATACTAAAGTGTTTACATAACCTACGCAATGGATAACACTTGACAATTGAAAGTCCTTTCTGCATACAGCCACACAAATGCATCATATTACTGTTATCAAATCCAATTTCTAACACTTTAGAAGTTCAATTGTTTAGTAAATCTTCAAACTACAGTCTGTATATTTACTGAAGAAAATAACAGGAGTAGTGGCGATATTTGGGATTTTCTCTGACGCCTTCTTGCTTCCTCACAAAACCTTTATAAAATGGTGCTTTACCTCACGGCCATCCTCCTTTCTACATTTGTACTTTTCAACCACTGAATATACATTGGTTTCCAGAACGCCCACTCATCACTAACACGGAGTAAAAAAGAAAAGAAAGAAGAGGCATCGAGACACTGACTAGACAAAAACAAAATATCTAGTTCCTTTATACAGTGTAAAACGTTTGATAAATCCTTCAAATGAATGCTTAAAAACAATTTACAGAAATGCAGTAACTAAATGTACATTATTTATATATATAATACTGCATACAAAAAAGAGCAGGTGAACTTAAGGTGTGTCCGGGTTGGTTTGGTCGGAGAAAGCATCTGTTGCAGCTGGCTGACGATGTTTAATGAACTTTGTTTAATTTAATTTCCTCCCGTATGAGTCAGCTCATTACCCAGGAGGCCGTGCGGCAGGCTTTGTGCCAGAAAATGCAGCTCAATGCACATAAAACTGGTCTGTGGGTCTTCACTGGGACATGTTTTTGTGGGGGTTTTTGTATAAAAAGTAGTAATACACAGATTGTCTTTCTAGGCAGCTGGGATTTCAATAAGCTTTGTTGCTTTAATCATATTTTACGAGTTATTGCAGGGATTTATTTGATGCTTTGTGTTCACACTGCTCGCAGCCATCAATCAGAAATGTCCATACGGAGGGGTTTTTCATTCATAAGCAAGTTGGCAAACTGAGAAGAAATCTGATTCGAGCCAATACAACTCAAGGTCTACTTTAAGTACTAAAAGTAAAAGTACCAATCATGCAGAATGGCCCACTTTAGATGTATACGTATTACATTAATGGAATATAATTATTAAGTCATTATTTTTTTTATATTAACTCATTATTTTGTGATACCAAGTCCTTTTCTTTAAGAGTTTCTCATTATAATGACTGAATCTTTTAATATTTCATCACATTGGCAGTAAAGGGCTTCCTAAATACTTTCTCAGAAACAACAACATGTTCAGAGGTCAGCAGGAAGCTGTAAAGAAATGAACTAATGATTTAGTTTTGTCCTCTTGTATTCAGGCTCATGTTGCCAAATAGCTTTCAGAGCCAGAGATCTGCCCGTGGCTGCTTGCAGTGTGAAATCACACCGTGACTCACGGGCTGCAGAAGAGGTGTTGTCATCCTGTGTTACAGAAGATTATTGACCAGAACAACTTCACCCTTTAGTCGTTTATCATCGGGGAACAAATGCTGAATCTAAAGGGCCACACTTTCTGACGAGTAGTGCACACTTCTTGTTGTGATGACAGCCAAGGTGCTCTCCACAAACACATTCGGTGCTTTAGCGTTAAATATCAAAATGAGCAAAGGCTGCTTTTTCTATACACAAACCTACCGGTACACAGGGAAGGGTGAAAATAAAGGCACGAAGATTTTTGGGACTTTCTCTCCCCCTCCCACCGTCTCGAGAAGTTTCTAGAAGGATGTGTCGACTGCGATCACCATCAACTCTCTCGTCCCGACCGCTGCGTGAGATTCAGCCTTGATGTGTCAGTCCAGAGTAGATCACCGCCTCACACTTTCTCCCTCCCTCTCCCTGGGGGACGTCTCACAGTCACTCAGGAGAAAGCAGTGGTGGGTAGAAACAAAAAGCAGCAGCAAAGAAAACAATTCTGCCTCTTCTGTCTCTGAATTTCTAAAAAACCTGATCCATTTATAGCCTCACACAAAGTCACAACAAACATTTCTAGACAGACGACACGAGCAGCGAGGGGAAACTTTTCCAACATCCTCTCACACAAGATGACTAGCTTTATCTGTGTCTCAGCGTGTCGTTTGACCGCTTGCCAACGACAGCTGGGGTGATAAATACGGAGAAGGTTAACCAACAGTAAACCACTCAGTGGGGAGCGACCGTAATGCAAACGATTTCCAACTGTTTGAACACAGATTACCTGGCTTCGATACCAGTGTGTGGAAACACCTCCGCTCCACATCTATGCCTTTTCATGCTGCTTCTCAAAAATACCCCAAATAAATCTCAGTTTCTTTGAAGTTTAAGTTTGCTCACGTCTTCTGCTTTTCTGAATAGACCAAACTTGATTTCAAAACAAAACTGCAGAAAGAAATTAACAACAAATTCTCCAAAATGTGACTATTTTCTATACTTTTGATGCCTAAAATTGGCATCCAACCATCAGGATACGAGCCACAATTAGGTCACTGTGTTTAACACATGCTCCATTAGCAACTTAAATTAAAACCAGACCAGACAGGGAAGCTACTGCGAAGCAATCCATCACACTTTATCAATATCAAGTGCAGTCTGGAGGACACAACCACTAGAACAGGCATTATTCAAGAGCTTTGGCAGCAGGCTTTAACACACACAAACACACCAAGTACGACGGACGGTAACTCGCACACACACCCTCACACACACACACACACACACACACACACACACACACACACACACACACACACGTGTACAGGGAGATTTTAAAAAGAAAACCTTCAGAGAGCACTGAAGTGTGTGTTTCATAAAATGTGTTCTTCTTGGATCGGCCACGACTACCACAAAGAGATGAAAGAAAAGCGCTGCTGCAATGCATTCTGGGGGTTGGAGTCAATATTTACAGCCCGTGGAATGATACATTTTTTTTTTTTTTAAATTTACACACAGATCCTTTCGTTCCTGCAGCGAAGTCCCATCCGGTGTTTCCGCCTTTATCAATACTCCCACCCGTCCGTCTTCATGTCCAGGTAGTTGAGAATGTTTTGGGCGAACTTCACCGCCTGTTTCCGCGCCATCTTGGTGGTCTCGTCGCCCTGCGGGTCCACGGCGTCCAGCGCCAGCAGCTGTTTGGTCAGCAGCTCCTCCAGCATCATGTAGCTCTTTTCGACGCGCTTGCCATCGAAGCCCAGTGCCTGAGCCTGGAGGTCCGAGAGGCTACCGAGCACCAGCCACACGGCCCGGTGCGCAGGGTGCTCGGTGCCCGGCTGGCGGCGCGCTAAAGCCTCGCGGAGGTCCAGGAAGGTGATGATGGCCTGGACCTCCACCACGGCGCGGCGGCGGGCCTCTCGGATGCACGGGTTCTTGGCCGTGTCCACCTGGTCCAGGTGAGTGAGGAGGCTCTGCAGCTCCGCTTTGGGCCTGAAGCTCAGATCTCCCATCATGCAGTGCCGCAGGACGCCCTCTCGCAGGTGGAACACGTGAGCACGCACTGCCTCGATCTCACGGATAGAGTTGTTCTGCCCCAGGTCGTATCTGAAAGAGGCAAACACTGAATCACTGCAATGAAAACTCCTGATCTTCAATGACTCACTGTAGTTTCTGATTCAATACGGTTTGAACACCTAAGTATTTTTAGGGGGTACTTAGGGTACATATTATATATTTAGGAATATTATAGAACATATGTCTTTTAAATACCTTAAGTGTTAAGGGTGCTTTTGAGGACATTCTGCAGCCAAAACTTATTTAAATGTATATTACCTCATTTATTTATTGTTTTGCTTTACTATGATTGAGTCCAAAAATGGAATGGAGTGGTTCTTGAATCAGTGCTGCAGTCTGTGTTTCTGCATTATAACGTAGTCAGTAGGCGTTTTATTACCATCAGCGCTTCTCTGGTGTTGTGAGTCTAATTTACACCTCTCAGTGTAGAGTAATTTAAATCAGTCCCTCCTCTAGTCCACCACCCAGGCTCCATGTGCGGAGACATCAGCCCATCATCACGGCACAATGTAAACTTTATGTATTTAAAGCTAGAAAATGTACAAGTTGTACTTTCTGCTGAGAAAGTTGTTGATGAACAGATGCACCAAAATGGTTCTCAAATGTTATTTTTAGTCTTGTATGACATTAATTTAAATATATTAGGGTTTTGGACAGTTTTTACAACCAAAACAAGGTACTTGAAGTAGAGCTGCATAATATTTTGATAATTGAATACACATTTTTTTATACAAAACTGACAAGAGACAGCATCTCAAATATATAGTTGTCCTGTGTTTCTCTGTTTTACATCAAATTAAACTTGTATTTGAAGACTTCATCTTGGACTAGCGGTCAAATAGTCAAAAATAGTTTGTCCAGTACTTTTTCCATCAGGTCAAGTAAGGATGTGAAGGAGAATTAGTACTTAAGAGAAAACAAACACGCAGCTAAGCAGATTGCACTATGCTAATGCAGCTAAGAAAGAAAGCATTGAAGCTCCTTTCCTTAGCATTACAATTATTTGAGCCAATGTTATCAGGGATACCACTGAGATGCTTCCGGGTCATTTTAGTCAGTTAGGAAACTGTTGGGAAGTCTATCTGACTGCAGGCAGAGAAATTGTATGTGGTTATTTTCTTATAAGTTAGTTAGTATTAGTTATTGCCCTGATCCGTCCTTTGAGTGGAGCCTACCTGCGGGTGTCCTCTCCCTCCCCCTCCAGGTCCAGATGTTTCAGCAGCCCGTTTATCTCCTCCACCACCTGCTTCCTGTAGTTTCTGATCGCCGCGTTCCCGGAAACATCCAGAGCATCCAGCTCCACCTGCATCTCCGTCAGGATGCGGGACAGGTGAGCGCAGCTGTCCCTGCCGCTCAGCCCCATCAGCAGAGCCACCAGCTGACTGCGCGCCACGCTCACCTTCACCATCACCTGGTTGATGAGGTTCACCGCCTCGTGGGTCTCCCCGGACAGCGGCAGGGAGAGGGTCTGCTGTTGGGTGCGCCCCTCCACCACATCCTGCACCGCGCACATTCGAGTCAGCGCCCGGTATCGCGCCTTTCGGAGCGGCACCCTCCCCTCCGTCTTCACCTGGGTGAGCCTCAGGATTATCTCCTGCAGGGCCTCCACCAGCTCGTCGTTTATTTCAGCCACGCCTCCCGAGCGCTGAGGCGCCACCACGCGGTCGTCCACCAGCTGCCGCGCCTCGTTGCTCAGATCTTCTATGGCGATGCGGGACGGGTGCGTGGCGTTCTCCTCCAGGTATCGCAGAAGGCCTTCCACTTCCTGTGCGGCTCTTTTCCGTGCCCCCTGCAGCTCTGGTTTGCCCTCCGTGTCGACCTTGTCCACCTCCAGCAGCAGGCGCGTCAGCTCGCGCTCGATTCGCTTGTAGTCGCGGTCGTGCTGCAGGCCGCTGAAGGTGCAGACCGCCGACCCCAGGGACTGAACCTCCTTCTGGACCTCGTACAGCCGCATCATGGCCGGGTGCTGCTGGTGGTACGACTGCTGCTGCTGCTCCATGGGGTGATGCTGCTGATGCTGCTGGGCGCCATGGTCCATCCTCTTCCCTCCATCAAAGGGCTTCCCAAACAGGCTGCAGAGGAGGGAAAGTCAGAACAATGAGAAACACTTCAGAGCAGAGCCTCAGCAGAGATGACATTGTTGCCCAGAATGGGCGGATTACTTCAAAACTTCCTTTTCAGATATTCACAGCCAACACTGGAACAACGAGACCTCCAACTATTGTCTGGATCCCTGCCACTGCAGCTGGCATGAAGACAGACTGTGCAACCTCAAGCAAACATTCAAATACCCACCAACTCCAGAGGAAATGACAACAATGTGGTCAATTGCAAATGCTATGAGCATTTATCGTGATCATCTTGCACATTTTACACATCCTTCGAAACTGCGACATTGCAGTAAATACTTGCAATATATACATTTTGTATTTGTGCCTTGCAAATGGTAAAGGCAAGTTTAATTTATATTGCAGTTCAACAAGTCAATTTAAAGTGCTTTACAAGAGACATAAAGAACATTAAGACAGTGATAAAGAACTATTCAATGATCATTTTGTTCACTACAAGAATGTGGGAATTCTTTAAAAATAATTATACAAGCAATTTGTTGTAGTTCAGCAGTAAAGTGAAAGCAGCAGAAAGGCAGAACCGAGTACAATTTAATATACATGGTTGAATTAACGCAAGTAATATTGATATTGTGCAGCCCTATTTTAGCCCTGTTCTTACATTCTACTAAATATTAGGGATGCACGATAATTATCGGCCCGATATTAGGAATTATGACGTCATCCCGATAAACCCGATAACAGTATTAATAGCCCCGATAATATACAATATATTTTTTGGGTAAAAAAAAAAGAAAAAAATACTGCGGTGTGGGTGGATTGGGATGAGGGGCGCTTGTTTTTCACTCGGCTCCTCCCGTTTTGCCAGTACTGTGGTATTAGTGGTTTAGGAAGAGGGGAGTTTTTCACAAATCCAGCGCTCCCTAACTCGTGAAGCCAGGACAGTAAACAAACATGTCGTCGGTGGTATGGGCGTTGGAGCTATGTGCAACTCAAGGCATATGCTCGAACCGGAGCTGCCTGGACGCTGCAATCATGTTGCGCACTATCCGTGCTGAGTGTGCTGACTTTTCGTACAATGTCCCACTGTCTGGCTTCCTGCATAAAGTCAAGTGCTCGGCGCAGTTGTGGCGAAATGTCGCTCCTCTGTTTTCATTTAAACAGCTCCGTATATCCGTTAGCGCAGCTAGCTAGCACCAGATGCTAACAACAACAATGCATGTAAGGTCTCTCTCTCGCTCGCTCGGGCCACACATACACACACCCTCCCGGTCCTCCAGATGGCCAGTCGGTGCCTGCCGGTGAGCGTGGAAGTGTGGTCTGCCACAAGCGGGCGACAGGAGCGGGGCTGTCAGCATCAGCTTGTAGATGGTATTTTAAACTCGATGCGCTCTGAAACTACGGGGCGGCCGAGGAAAAAAAATACACATGCGTTAATCGCATTAAAATAATTAGTGGCGTAAAAAACGTTTTGTTATCGGTATCGGTCTTGAGAAGCAGGAAGTTATCGGTATCGGTATCGGTTTCCAATATCGTGCATCCCTACTAAATATGTAAATAATGTTGCATTTCTGCATTGGAAACAAAGGTGAAAATATTTCTCTGCATCTCCAGTGGGAACAAAAGCATATCTGCATTACAGTTATAACCTTCTGATTTAAACACAATGGATGTTGTGTTGCACCAGAGAGCACCGCCCACTCTGGCACCAAATAAAATGTATATATCATAGGACGAAAAATAAACCACAGGTAAAGTGTTGTATCTCCACTCTGCAGGCAGTTCTGTCACCCCCAACATGTCAGAAATGCCTGGAGGCTGAGTCATTAAACATGAGAATAATCCATTTTATGTGAGAGAAGTCCCAATACTCCACCATTGAGCTGTCACTTTCCAACTTGCTGCCAGTTTCGTGATAAGTTAACCAGCCTTATCTATCTGAAAATGTCCCTTCACTAAACCTGAAATATTCAATTTATTGCAGCTTCATCTTCTGAAAAATGACATTTGCTCCTCGAACTGTAACTGATTTTTTTAAAGCTAGTTTTTGTGTATATTTCCGATACCAATATATCAGTAAAGATTAATCTTTTTACATATATATGACTAACCTGCATGTGATGCATTACAGTTAAAACATATACTTTAAATGCTCTCTGATTGATGGACTACAGGTAATGCCTTTTCAGAATTACTCCTAAAACTGTGCTGATACTGATATATCTGCCAAAGGCTAATATCCAAATAGATATCTGCCAAGAACAAACGTAGTCTAGCAACAACCACAGTTGCAAAATCAAAAAAGTTAGAGTAACAGCTAAAAAACCTCCAGCTATTTCACCCTGCTGCAGTGAGGTAGGAGTGTACACTGTGATAATAACTTTATTTAACCAGGAAATGTTTAAACGGATATTAAAAAAGGGATTTTTTTCCCGCTGGTTACTTATTTCAACAGACCTATTTACTTGAAAAGCTCAATATAATTGTGTGCTTCTAAACTTTGTGATGAGATTCTACTTAAATATGCATGAACGGGGTTTATTTGCCTCGTTAGGGCCAATAAATCTTTGAAACCAAGAAGACCCCAAAATAAACGGTGCTACAAACAGCCTTTAAAGGTCACCTATCATGCTATTTTTAGGCAATAGCATAGGTCTCAGATATATAAAAAACATGTCTATGAAGTGTTTTGCTCAAAATACCAAACAGATCACCCATTCTAGCCATGCCTCATCCCTCTATTTCACTTCCTGTTTCAAAAGTGCTGATTTTGGGTATAAAGCTTCTTTTTTTTTTTTTTTAAAGATAAAAAGAGGGGCGGAGCTTATGCCTGCTCATGCGGGAGATTCTACCGGCAGATACTGCCGTGATGAAACGCCATATCATGGATTATCAAGGATTATTTCTGAAACAGTATGGAGCTCAAAGGCTTTCTCTCTTGCCGGTTATACCACAAGGTGAGTTCCTTTTTATTTCCTGCTTCTTCACACACATGCTCTCCAGTACAGGTTAGCTCTGAGTGTTAGCGATGCTAATGTAAACACCGACCATATTACGCCCAAAACAGTCAGGCATTGTTTCTGATAGTGCTGTGGGTCTGCATTGCTGATATTACGTCATATCGGACGCAAATCTGGATCAGCTCCGTTGTACCCCCGTTTTTAGAGATTTGGGTACGGAGGAAAAGAGAGAGGGTTTTATTTTCTGACGCTGCGTGAGTTCTGACACATACATATTTATGTATAAAAGACATCAAAAAGTGAATTTTGCATGATAGGTCCCCTTTAACATAAACGTATCCCTCTACATCAGGGATGGGCAACTTTGATGGTGGTGGGGGCCACATAATTGATGTACTGGCCACCAGGGGGCCGCAGATTCACTTGGAACACACACACACACAAATTCCATGTGTTGTATGTAATTATTAACAAATATACTAAGTCTGACATCTTCATTGACATTTTACAATCAAAGGGAACATCCCCAAAAAATGGGAACATCCTCTAATAAGCTCACTAAACAAATATCAGTTCACAGAAATATTATTTCATTTTTACAAGTGGCATGTTTGTATTGAACAGGTTATTAAACAGTGGAATAAAACTATTTTAAACTATTGGAAAGCACGGAAAATGTGTGTGTATTGAGATTAACCATTAGATGACATAAACATGAAGTCATGAACACTAACCAGACATTAGTTGTCTAACTTGAACCTAAAACACTTGTAGCCAGTCTCTGCATTCCCCTTATTCCACAATAAGGGTCAACACAGACACCTGTCAGCCCGCACTCTGCTGTTCCTCAGCACCACTCCCCCTCCCTCCCGCTGAAATTATGAATGAAAAGCGTAGTAATCATAGATAACACGGCAGGGTCCGTGACAGTTTGTTTTCATCTGGTTTCAAATAAACAAAGTCTTGGTTTTAAGAATACTAAACTTGTTTCGCCAAATTCAGATGATAAAAACAACTTTGAAGCTTGTAAAGGCATAATTACAAGAGGCAACTTAACGTCACAGCAGGCATAACAACAGCCTGTGTTTCTTGTGAGGGTTTCCCCGGGAAACAAACACAATACACACAAATGCGTCACAGATTATTTTGCGGTATTTGAAATCATCTACGCAGCTCGCGACGTAACTAGGAGTCTAGTGGACGGTATCAGTACTACAAGTAAAACAAATGTAAAACAATTTTTTTTTTCTTTTTTATTAATTACGTTTGTTTATAAATTAATCTGAGGGCCGCAAAAAGAGGAGGTGGGGGCCGCATGCAGCCCGCGGGCCGCCATTTGCCCATCCCTGCTCTACATGAATGAGAAGTAGTCTAAGGACTTTTCCTGACCTCTTTCATTGCATTTCTCACTTAACTCACATGACATACCAGCTTCAGATTAAACAAGAACAAATGCTCATATAATACATTCATAAGAAATTCTTACCCCTTACAAATCATGCAGGAAAACGAATTAGGTTAACCTACATTTCGTCTCGACAAGAGGAACACCCACATGACAACCATTTATATTCATTTCTATCTGGCTGGTTGGCTGACATGATGGTGAAATATCTTTAATCCACATGAACAGAATCCATCCTGTCTATCAGGCTTTAAATACTGAGGAGGAAATAAACTGAATAACACCCAAAATATGAAAAACAGATTAGTTTCCACACTCGTGCAGGAAGTGTGCGAGGAAAAAGGAAATACCCAAATCCCAATTCAACAACATTTATAAAAACTAAATGTTAGTCTGATTTTTAACAGGTTTACTCGTTTAGGCTGTTAAACTATCTTTTGACACACAATAATGGGTTTATTTCTACATTTTTAAACAATTCAATATTTAGTTATAAGGATGTTTACATCCAGGTAAAGACTGTTATTCCTCTGGTGTCACACCAATTTCATTTTTCTTATTAAGCTTCAGTATATACAGATTATTCTCTGTGGTTTTGTGTCTGTTTGTATTGGTTGAGTTCATGTTGTTGTAGTCTTTTAATCATTTGTCTGTCAGCGTTTGTGCCTCATGTATTTTGTATGTCTTTGTAGTTATTTTGCATCTAATCTGTGTTGTTTTTGCAACCCAGTGTAGATCTGTCTCATTTCTCTCTGTTTTTTGTCTGATTTTTCTGGTTTAAATCCCTTTTCTAATGTTACTCTATTTTAAATAATTGTTTACTCTATCCTCGGTATGCTGTGCAGCTTTATTTGGTGGGCAGGATAGATTTTTAAATACTTTTATTTGGAGCAAAAACTGCAATCAAGTCATTCCTACTCTAAACTGTGACTTTAAAAACATCAATGTGAATAACAGTCAGCTCTCACACAGGCCCTGACCCTTGAACCCTGGATCAGTAATCCATCCATGTTAAATCTACTGAGATAAAGAACCAGCTCCAGCATAACAATAAATCCAGCTAAAGGCTTTAAAAACAGGCAAAGAAAAGGTCAAAGTGAAGGAAATGGTTCCCAATAATCCAGAAATGCCTATATCAAGTGCAGTTTCCATATCTGCAGGATCACGATAACATTTAGTCGTTTTTCGCAGCAGAACATGGCTCAGGGGAGGGAAGTCATTATCAGTCTGAAAGCATGATGTGCATGTTACATATCAACACAAAGCCCACACAATATGAAGGTTTGTTATTCACAGCATCAACAACACTTAGTGGAATAGACAGCATTGTGTTTGCAGCATTCCCTAAATTACTTTTATGTAATCTGGGCGATGGGCTGGTTCACAAATCTGAGTATTTATTAGGATAATCTCAGCGAAATCCACTGCACTCCTGGCAAACACCTCGTGCCTTAATTTGATCCAAGAGAGACAAGCAAAAAAGGGGAGGCTGATGTGATCAAGTAATACGTTTGCTAGTAGGAATCTTCCCACCCATGAGTCACACACATTATTAATTGAGCTGGAGGTAACATGCAATCAATCGAGACCACCACCCAACATGCTTTTTGCTATGAAACCTTCCAAAACACACCCTCCTGCATGCACCGGTCCTGCACGGCTTTGCGCATTATGTCGCCATATGAAATACCAATATTTGGCTGCGAAGGTATATGCAAAATACACACCGTGCACGAAAACACATCGAAGCATCTCCTGTCACAGGATTTTGCACATACACAGATCGATCTATTTCTCACCTTTTCAAAACGCCGAACATATTCGCGCACATTTCTACGGATGTCTGTTTCCATCAGCCACAGAAGGGCGGGGTGTGGAGCAAAGTGGCCCCCAGATTTACCCCCCGAAATACGGGAGAGAGAGTCCGTGATGCTCCGGTCAGCTTCAGCACCTAAAGACTGACTGCGGTCGGGCTGGTGTGTGTGTGTGTCGCCCCTCCCACAGACTACCAGAGGGTAATCCTACACCGACTATCGCTTTAAAACAACTTCATATACAAATATATATCTTACTGAAACATAAAGATGATTTTAAAAGCAGTTTTGAGTCAAATAAACCTTCTTGTTTTCACTGTCTGAACCCCATTGTCCTCGCTACCGTTGATCACCTGACTCAGCCCCACCTTTACCGAATAACTCCAGTTTTATTTGGTGGTGTTAACACATTAAACACCACCTCGTCACTTTAATAGGTTCACCCTTACCTGCATAGCCAGCGTACAGCCATCTGAAACGTTGTGGAAAAGTGCGCACCTCCCCGGCATGAAAGCTAAACATTAGCCTACCTAGCTACCTTCTAGTAGTTACTTTCCGGCTCACCAACTAGCGCGGAGTTTCTCTTTGCTTCATATACGGGGAATAAAACCATTAAACGGACGTTTAATTCACGTGATAACTCAAAAATGGAAATCAGTGTTTAGATAATGGTTAATAAATTCACATTAACGTAGAATAAATACAAAATAAGTCTTATTTTCCCGTATTTCTATTATAAGTTTTTGTAGCGCATGGTAAGTTTTGGTTGTCCAACATTAGGTGCGCTCCATTGGAATAAATGATCGTGCCGTTTGATGCGTGGCGGCAAGGGCGGGGATACTAAAGGAAGGGCCTTTTTTGAGATTTGTTGTTGTTTATTCTTTTACTCCACTAGAATTCCGAGGCATATATTGTCCTTTTTAAATCTATTACATTTATATCTACATGCATATCCATTCCTTATTTTACTGATACATACGATGGATTTGGTTTTATTGCCTGTTTTTATTTCATTTTAATTATAATAAAATAATAATACAAAAATGTGAAAATGGAGAGTGCTGCGATATATGTCGTTGTTCAAATGCTGTGTTGTAAACGTACAATCAAGCTGAACATTGAACCATGATATGACATCCAAAAGTGACAGATAATCCTAATACAATCCTTATTAGAGTCAAGAGTAAAGATTTCTGGGACTCCACTGAAGTAGAATTTCTAGTTTTAACAAATCCTTATGTGTTATTATAAAATAGATAAATATATAGATATATTTGTAATCTAAAATAAAATAAATATTATAGATATAAGTATTATAAAAGTTAAGGTACCTAGATGTATAGAAAATAAATGATACCATACCACCATCACATTTGCCAGCTGCAACTCTAAAGTGATGATTCAATAGGCCATTCTGCATATTCAGTACGTTTTGGCACAAGGTGAATACTTTGACAGGTGGTAACTTGTACTTACATTATATAACACAACCACTGGCCATCTGGCTGCATAGTGACTAAGTATATGTAGTCTAACTAAGTACATTTAGGCCTACTCATAATACTGTACTTGGAATACTATTTTGAAAAAAGGTGTAGGGGAGACCAGGGACAGTTGTAACACGGGTCGGTTGTAACGATGGTTGTAACACCTTCAATATCTCCAATCACAAACAAGCTAGAGTGATGAAACTCACTCTGCACATGCGCAGTTAGATGGTAAGATCGCTGAGAAAAAAAGGAGCCATGTTTGAATTTCTCGCGTAAGATATCAGTAAAAGTTTGTTTCTGAGGTAAAATATTAACACAAATTATATGATGTATTTTTTGGATATTGTCTTGAGTTCAAATGTCAAGGAATCCAAACTAGTATTATTATAATCACTGTTTTGTAAGCTACAAATATAACTAGCTAAATATGGGTCAAGCTAGCAACCAGGCAGGTTCACAGGGGGTGGAAGCAAGACTGGTGGTCCTGGGACGGTTGTAACATGGCACATTTACAATGATAGCTCATTTGCTTGAATGATCAATTGTTCATTCAAGCATACAGTTGTATTGTTGGTTGGTGTGCATTGTCCCTGTAAAAATAAACAGAATAAAATACTGTACATTAGGCCTAAAGTGTGTGCGTGTGTTTACAGTATGCCAAATGTCAGAAAGAGGAAGACAGACGGGAGTGCCACTTGCTCTGCTGCAGAGGGCCTCAAATGAAGTTGAGAAGGGCAAATCCTTCAGGGAAGTGGCAAAGTCCCTGGATATATGCCATGTCACCCTGTACCGGTTCCATAAAAAGAGGCTGAGGTTGGAGAGTCAGGGATCACAAACACCCCCAAGAGTATGGACACCAAAGAAAGAAGGTGTTCTCAACAGAGCAGGAGATGCTTTTGAGAGACTACCTGATGGAGGCAGCTGATTTATATTATGGTCTCAGCTCAAAGGAGGTAGGTCTACATAATTAAGGTAGAAGCACCTCTCAGAAAACAGTTTAATCCTTCACAGAGGATGATGCTGTGTGTTATCTGTTATCCTGTTCATTGTTCATTGTTTGTTGGAGGATGTGTGAAACCCCATTCAAATCTTGTTGCCTTAGAATTTGACAGCTTTCCCTATTTGTTGTCATGTAGTGTGAAAAAGGTAACCGTTATTAACATGTTACAACCGTGCCTGGCATGTGTTACAACTGTCCCTGTACACAAGGACAGTTGTAACAGTTGAGTTTAAAAAAAATATATATACATTTTCCAACCTGTAGGCCTACTTATTTCATAAAAACATCTTAAATACATTGTTTCAGTAGCTGACATATTGATAATGTATAATATAGCAAAATGGCTATCCTATTGTAAATGTTTTTTTACTTATTGGGGAAAAACCCCAAAAGTGTTGCAACTGTCCCTGGTCTCCCCTACTTGATTTGAGAAAGTGTCTTTGATGCCACATATAACTTCAATACGTGTCCATAATATAATACTGTTGAAAACTGTACTTCTACTTAAGTTACATTTCATTTCAGGACTATTACTTTAAATGGAGGATTTTAAGATTATATTGGTAGTTTTATATTTCTTCTACCACTGCGAAGCAACAAGAATGGTTTGGGAGAAACCCCGCCCGGGGCTGCGCCGGTGAATTTTTGAAGCCCCTCTTTTCTGTAGTGGTAGTCATGTGACCAGGCGGAGGGTTGTTCTCACAGAAGGACATCGATATGAACTCCCCTAACAAAACACTGTAGGTTTATATAAATATCCGGACACTCTGCCATGTAAGGGAAACAAATCCCTCTTAAGACAGCTGTTTAGTGTCGGTTAGTTAAAAATGGCGTCCAAAACAACAGCAGCAGCATGGAGGATTTTCAGCCCTTTTACACTCCACTCTCCTTGCAGTATATCAGCACTGAATATACGGCAATGTAGCTCCAAACTGGCAACCAAGCAGGACATAACACCAAAGGTTCGTACAGTAAATCATCATAATTTGTTAAATAAACAATCTCTAAGTACTGCCATGTTGAATATCTGACTTACATGAATTGTTGTATGTCCCCCACGGCTTGTTGTGCAGCATGTGTGTGTTGCCATGATACTGTTGCTGGTATGGGCCAATGTTAACATTCATTCAAACTATGGTTTCGTAATAGAGATATCATAATGTAAAAATACTCCATTACAAGTAAGAGGTAAATACATTTAAATGATGCAGTTGTGATAAGTACAATTAGTTGTACCACAGTTTATAAGTACAACAAAATGAAAGTTTTATATATAGGCCTACTTGTTGCTTAACAAAATATAAAACATTTTGTATTAAAATCTAAATCTACGGAGTAACTAAGTATTTCAATAAATGTAGTGAAGTAGATGTATAAAGTAGCATACAATTAAAATACTACTACAAATACCCAGGGGTGAAAGTGGTTTGAATTTCTTGCAGGTACTATAATGCTACCCCGACCTTCATTGGTTCATATTGTTCTCCTCCCGCCCCCAGCTTCATGCATCCCTGAACACAAACTTCACATTTTTAATGCCTTTATGGGGTAGAAATTAGAAACACTTGACAAGATGTGACCCGCTCTATCGAAATCAGTCGGAAGTCGCAACGGCTCATTTAAAAATAAACGTGGATTTACGTAAAAAACTATTTTTTCGGGGTTCGGGTGTTTTGTTTGATTTTAAACAAACAAAGTCTTGGCTTTCAGAATATGAAACTTTTATTTCCAAAATCACACGATAAATACATTTTTGAAGCTTGTAAAGGGACGAAGACAGGCACCTCTCCCTCGCAATCTGCTCTTCCGCAGCGCCGCCCCCCTCCCTCCGGCTGAAATTATGAAAGAGTATAGTAATCATAGATAACACCAGGGTCCGTTACAGTTTGTTTTCATCTGATTTCAATTAAACAAAGTCTTGGCTTTCAGAATATTAAACTTGTTTCGGTAAATTCAGGTGATAAATACAAATTTGAAGCTTGTAACGGCATAATTACAAGCGGATAACGGAGTAATTTAACGTCACTGCAGGCATAACAACAGCCGGTGTTTCTAGTGAGTGTTTTCCCCGGGAAACAAACACAATACGCACAAACGCAAAAAAAAAACACACACACACACACACACACACACACACACACACACACACACACACACACACACACACACACACACTCGCGAGCTTCCCCCATGACCAGTAATCCAAAACAAAATATCTTCCCTTAGTATACATTCCACGGGTGGAGCTGTCAATTCTTCCTGGTCCTCCGGACCGCCTGGAAATCTCTTACCGGTACTAAGGACCGGGTAGGACCGGCACACTTTCAACACTGCAAATACCTGAAATGTGTACTACTTGAGTATTATGTACTTAATAACATCTCAGTACTAGACTACTTCAGGATAGTATCAACATATTGAGCCTTTAAGAACTCCATGTTATGCTAAAACTTTAACAATATTGCAAATTGGTATGCAAGACATTTTAATAATTGCATTTACATGTAGGTTAAGATGTCTTTGTTACAGGAAGTTGTTTCTACCTGTTTTCAGTCTCTTGAGTGCATCAGGGTTTCTGCCTTGCTGCTCGTCGTCACCCTGCAGTCTGGTTTGAAATGATAAGCTTGTCTGTGTTGGTCTGCTATTTATTCAAACCATGTGACCACTTTGTATCTGCGTGCCAAACCTCTGTTGACTCAGTCAGTTCATTCAAATTAAATCACCTGCAGGGCGGCACCCTGATCTCACTCCTACCTGTTTTAACATGTGTAGTTCAAGAGTAATGGAAACATTTTGGTTTGCAATAGGATTCCTTAATAAGAATCCAAAAGGGATTTTATCCACCCAGATTATT